TTTCTTAACTAAATTGAATGCTTCTTGGCATTTATCGGTCCATGTATACTTCACGTCGTTACGAAGTAGCTCGTATAATGGGTCTAGTATGGTAGCGATATCTTTCATGAATCGATTGTAATATGTAATCATGCCAATAAATGAGCGGATTTCAGATTTGTTTACGGGTGTTGGCATATCCAATACAGCTTGGAATTTTGACGGGTCTTTATGAACCCCTTCCGAGTCAAAAACGAAACCACAGTAGACTATTTTGTCGTCAAGAAAAACTGATTTGCTGAGGTTAATTTTTACATTATGTTTGTCTAAAATTTTTAAGACTGTATGTATTAATTCTATAAGTTCCTCGAAAGTAGCTGCCGCCAACCGTAAATCATCCTGAAAAACTCGTACACCTTTTGTTAATCGAAACAATGACATCATTTTCTCCTGCCAAATTGCTGGAGCAGCCGCGATGCCGAACATCAGACGCCACACACGATACAAACCTCGTTGTGTGTTTATAGTTAGTATGTCAGCCGTCTTCGCGTCGACTGGTAATTGTAAATAAGCTTTTGTACAATCTATTTTCGCGAAGAATTTGCAACCGGCTAAATCAACTAAAATTTCATCGGTTGTGGGCATAGGAAACTCGTTAATAATTAGTTGTGAGTTCACGGTTACACTATAATCGCCGCAAATTCGAACCGTCCCGTCTTTTTTTAACACGGGTACAATAGGCGTAGCGTACAATGAGGAATCGACGCGCTCGAGTACCCCTTCTTTTTCGAGAGACTCTAAAGCTTTATCGACTAGAGGAACGAGTCGGAACGGTACACTGCGAGACTTTATGAAAATCGGCTTTGCGTCATGTTTCATAGTTAGCGTTGCATTTCCCAAATTTGTAATCGGAGACAGATCTTGTCGTGTTACATTTTTGTACTTATCTGTAAGGCTTTTTTCAAACGCGGCTTTGTTGAAATCACAATTTCTGTTCGTACGTATCGCTGTCTCGACCGCTAATACCGATGTAAACAAACTCTGAGCGCCTCGCTTCTGAATAAATCGGTGTATCCATTCGCGACCACATAATGGCCCTCGGTTCTGATTCGTCAAATACAAGTTTAGATTAAATTTAATGCCCTCGAACTTAACCGTAACATTAATGTAACCACGCACGCTTATAGAGGTTTTGCAATAGGATACCAGAAGCAGAGATGAGCGCAGTACTTTCGTCCCTGGAAACAGCTTCGTTGCTTGATCGTAGAACATCACGGATACTCCTGCTCCTGAATCCACTTCAAAGACCACCTTGTTGCCGTTGACCGACAGCTCTTTCATGAACTTATCTCTGTTTTGGTTCATCTCCAGGGAGTCAATATTCAAAATATCCAGCACTTCTACGTCGGCGGCTTCCTCGAGTTGGTTTATGTGCTTCGATTTCTTCATGCAGACTTTTGCGAGGTGTCCAGGTTTTCCACAAGAGTTGCATGTGATGTCTTTTGGCAACGTACAATTATTTGCCTTGTGCTTAGGATTTCCGCATCTGTAGCATCGATGATTGGATTCTTTATTATTTTTCTGTGTCATTGTTGTGTTTGAAGTGTTTTTGTAAGATTTTGTATTTCTTTTCTTTTGATCACGTATGAGATTTATTGAAGTGTGGTCGTTATCGCTTCGTAAATGCAGAGTTTCCTTCTCGCATATTTCCATGGCATTAGCCGTTTATAATGCCTTCTCGAACGTGAGATCTTTTGTCTCTAGTAATCTGCTCTGTATACGTGAGTTACTCAGACCGTAAACAAACTGATTGCGAAGTGCCTTTTGTAGAAAGTCATCAAATTTACATGTTGCGCTAAGCTTGTTCAAGGCCGTAGCAAATTCTTGGACCGACTCTCCTATTTGTTGTTTACGGCAATTGAATTTGAAATTCTCGGCAATTTCTAATGCCACTGGTGCGAAGATCTCTTTCAATTTTTCTGTTAACACTTTGTACTCTTTTTTAGAAACTTCACTTGTACCGAGATTGTCGCATAGCACATTATATGCTTTGTCACCCACATAGTGTAGCAAATATGTGGCTTTCAACTTTTCATCTTCGACTTTCATGATGGTCAGAGCCCCTTCGAATTGATTTAACCATCGGTCCCATTGCGACTCTCCGGGTATAAACGCACTTATTGTGAAGTTTGAACCTGTGATGTTCATCCTGCTTGTATTTTCTTCTTCAACCAACTGCTCGTTTTTGTCTAACTCTTTTGAGTCACTGTACTCCTGTTTAATTTGTATTGGCTCTTTTTCCTCGTCAGAGCTAGTATCGTCGCCAATACCAGAGAAGATTTTCTTGAACGTGTCAATTTTTGTTCACTATAATTTTTGTTGTGCGCTCCTGTAGGAGACACAACAATTACACTTCGCACACGTAACGTGAACTGCACTGTTGCAAGCACTGTGAATCAGTGATGTAATTTTGTCACTTTTCAAGCACTATACGACTGTAACGTAAGCTTGCACTTTTTTTTTAGCCCTGTGAAATTCGTTCAATATCCTCGTCGCCACTGTTATGTATTTTTGGAGTGATTTCGAGACGTGTAGGAATTAAGAAGAGGAGCTCGTGTATGATGTGTATAGTTCCTTTATTTAGAAGTGAATGCTCGCGAGTCGCGTTACAAAGATGCGAGACGCCTCATCTCATCGTTCGGCGCTCCGCGCTTATCTGCTGGCATACCAGAGTGAACGCGCACACACACACAGTCGCGAGTGTCGAGCATGGACCCAACAAGCTCAAAGTCCTATTGTTTGAAGTGAGTTTAGCTAACGAAAGCCCCTTATTGTAGAAGTGCTGAGGGACCTCTACAACTACAACTACAACTTAATTACAATGGTGCTGAAGGACCTTTGTAATTATTGGGCAGAGATCTTAACGTACAGGTGCTGAAGGACCTTTACGATAAGGAAAAGAATTTATTGCGAAGGTACTGAGAGACCTTGGCAACGAATGAAAGTAGATGTTATTGCGGAGGTACTGTAGGACCTCTACAATATTTTGTCACAAAAGTGCTGAAGGACCTTTGTAACAAATGTGTTCTATTGCAAAGGTACTGAAGGACCTTTGCAACGAACGAAAGTAGTTAATATTGTAGAAGTACTGATGGACCTCTACAATATTTTATAGATCTTGTTACAAAAGTGCTGAAGGACCTTTGTGACAAGTAGAAAAAGATTTTATCGTAAAGGTGCTGAAGGACCTTTATATTATATTATAATTATATTATATTATATTATAATTATAATTGGCTTTATTGCAAAAGTACTGAAGGAGCTTTGCAATAAATGAGAGTTGAAAAATAATTGTTACAAAAGTACTGAAGGACCTTTGTAACAGGTGTAAACAATAAATTTAATCGTAAAAGTGCTGAAGGACCTTTGCAATAAGATTTAATTATTTCAATTGGGATAGCTGGGTAACAAAAATAAGTGAACGAGAAACTTACTCTTCGGACACTATTGAGCACCAAGCTAAACGAGTCCGTCGATAGTGTGTAACTGTGTTTATAGATCTCTATGAACTTTGACAGCGCATGAAATAGTTACTGAGGACCTATTGTAACATGTACTCTTGCTCTGTTCGATCTCGAGACTGAACTGATTTCTGCCTCTGTAGAGGCCCGTATTTATATGCTTTTGACAGAGGGCGAAAAGTGGGGACGAGCAATCGTCGTGTTGGACCGTTAGCTGGGCGCTCGTAGTAGTGTAGATTTATTGATAAAAATTAAAGTTAATACAATAAACAAATTATTGGCTTAAAAGTAATATACAAAGTTGCGCTGTGAAATTACTAGTGTTTTGATACTAAATATTTCATGGTGACGTGAAAATACAATGGTGAAAGATCTGTGTAAAAAGGTGAAGTTATATAATAAATATAATTAAAGGTTGTTTAATAGGAATGTTTCTTGGTAGAAGCATTGTGCATATTTTTTGCTGAAGAATTGTTAAGTGTTTTGAAGTGATTGGATTAGTATTTAAGTTGTAACGTGGTTGTAAAAATATATATTTTAGTGATGACTCGGCACATTTTCAGGTTACGCCGAGTCATGCATAATTGATACATCTTCTTGTTTATTATAAACTATAGTTTAGAGGTTCGATCTTATTTGATTTAATTTGAAAGTATTTAAGTGCACCATCGCTAGGTGTTACAAGTGTATATTAATTGTTTAACATATAAATAAAAGTTCGCCATGTGGTGGCATATGGCGATACATGTATTTGTTCTTTAATTGTTAATATTGATTTCATTGTGTGATTCGTTGGGTATGTCTATTTTTCGTGTGCGGGCTTTTAAAAGAAAGTTATATACGTTGTAAGCATACACTTTGCTCACGCCCAATGTTGATTTTGAGCCATCTTGTGTCATCAGCTTCAGATTTAACATGTATTTTTTTAAATTCTCGAAGGCCCTCACTCAATACGTTTTTTACAGTTTTTAAAAAACTTAGCCCATAAAGGGTATTTTACTGAAGACTTGCATTGTACCAAAAATGGCCACCTATAAAACTCTGATCTGAACCTTGCGCACAGTACCAAAGTGTTAAAATAGTAAAAATAAGCTATTTCTAGATGCAAAGGCCTATTCTACAACTTTTTCCACATTTTTTAGGGTTCAAAGTTTTCAATGTTGTGTTCAAAATGTAGATTGACATTGAACTATGACTTCTATCACAATAATGACAAAAAGGAGTGAATTGGTTTATTACTCCTCTCAAGATTATGTGTAAGGCAAATTCAAGGTTACCATTAAGTTCTTTGTCTAAAAATATGTCGGATATGGTTTTTTTATTGCACTAACTCTACGAGACATTCAGTGGTATCCATTCTTTTGTTACAACCTGTACAATAGGCAAATACCTCAGAAAATAATAACAACTGTGTAATATTTTTAAATGGAATAGTAAGTTTTTGGAGCTTTTTATAGTAAGTATGTAATAAATATTTAATAATAAAAAATACTTGCTTACAATTAAGCCGTATAGAGTTTCTTTTAGTGATCCATGGCAAGCATGTAAATACAGAATACTTATGACTTTTTTCAAAATTTTCTTCATTATAAGATGCATTCTGATCTAAAACGTAATCAAAAACTCCTCTACCTGTTAATTTCAAAGTAATATCTGAATAAGAAGAGACTTTACGTTGTGTTTCAAAATACTTGGATGTTAACCCTGTCATTGGTACGTGAGTCACTGGTTTGTAGTTTTTTTTTTCTAATACTCTCATATTTTGCGAAGAATCATAGCTCGACTTTGTTTGACCATTCAAACTTATTCTTTTTCGGGTGCCTCCATTAAACATTGCTTTCACATCTTCCCACGAATGGATTACATCATCAGAAGGGTTACCTAAAAGCTTCATATGCCTTCGCCAAGAATTAAAATTAGCTGCATCTGGCTCGGTGTACTTATCGTTAATATCAATTCTATGAGAATGAAAAATAAATTTATTAGGAGAAAAAAAAATTCCGCAAATAGTACATTTTATGCACTTGGCTCGTGAACTATTATATCTAGAAGGCATAAAAATTCCTTTACATCCCCAAGCACATTCGTGATATACCATAAACGTAAAATCTTCGGGTAACCTATGAAAAAATAAAATATTTTGACCTTGATTAAGTTTATAATATTAAAATCAAATTGAATAAAATATTTATACAACAAATAACTTATCAATCTCTCAAATTTATTGCGTATATAACAGTCAGTTCATATTAATGCAGTTTCTTGTATAGAGTTACAAAATAATTACTTAAGGGCTCAAAGCGGGCTTCAAATCGAAAAGAATTTTATTTTATTTTTGAGTAGGATTTTTTGTCCCTTTTCCATTGCATTTTTGAAACATCAAAATTTTGATCATTCACTGGAATATAGCTGTTCCTGTGAGCCATTTTAATACACTGGGTGTATTAAGTTTTTACTTCTTTTTCGTTTTCTGGCGTTTTACCTTTTTACAAAGTGCACCTCAGTTGTCGTAAGATTCAGAGCATACCGATTGACTTACAGCACCAGGGTCACGTACACTTCTTCAAAACATCAATGGTTACGTTCACGACCTAGGGTGTGGTGATCGAGCTCATAGGTCACTTTCAATCAGTAGACTCATGAAGGAGGTAACAAAAAACAAACTTAAAATGAAAAAAAAATTGTGCTTAAACACAAATGTTTGTGCAGGATGACTTAAGGGCTTATATACACTTTAAATTCAAAATTTTTTTTTATTCAATTTTTGAATAGGATTCTTTCTCTCCTTTCCATTGCTTTTTTTCGAAATTCCAAAATTTTGATTTGGCACTGAGATACAGCTGTTTCCGTAAGCCTTTTTCCTATACTTTACGTGTTAACTTTTTTCTTCTTTTGCGTTTTCTGGCGAGTAGTGTTTTTGGTCACCTGTCGTAATATTCAGAGGGTATCGATTGAGCTTTCTGCACCAGGTTCGCGTACATTTCTTCAGAACATGAATGGTTACGGCCACTACCACGGGTGAGACGACCAAACACTCAGGTTGCTCTGCATGAACAGTTAAACACACAATTTTTTTCATTTTTCGTTTTTGCCGAAATTTGAGTCATAAAAGTACGTTTTGAAAATGATCTATGAGCTCAATCGTCTCACCCGTGGTAGTGGCCGTAACCATTCATGTTCTTAAGAAGTGTACGCGACCCTGGTGCAGAAAGCTCAATCGGTACCCTCTGAATATTACGACAAGTGACCAAAAACACTACTTGCCAGAAAATGCAAAAGAAGAAAAAATTTAACACGTAAAGTATAGGAAAAAGGGTCACAGAAACAGCTGTATCTCAGTGCAAAATCAACATTTTGTAATTTCGAAAAAAGCAATGGAAAGGGGAGAAAAAATCTTATTCAAAAATTGAATAAAAAAAATTTTGAATTGAAAGTGTATATAAGCCCTTAAGTCATTCCAGTTTTTTGCAACATTAAATGTTGAATAACTCGAAAACTATCAACTTGAGAGAAAAATTTCAAGAGACGTTTTCTCTTTAAAATGGTCCAATTGACTTAAAAAATGTATTGCCAGGTCAAAAAACATAAATGTTGACCGCTTGTCTAAAAATATTTGTTTAAACAATGTTGGGCACGTTTTTGGGCCTGGAAACATGCGAATTCGGATTCAGCGGAAAATTTTACATTGGAATATGTAAAAAAACTCGACTAAAAAAATTTTTTTGACCATTGCGAAGCTGGGGCCTGAACTATTTTGGATTACGCAAACGATGATGTGCAATCGTTTCCTGGACAGACGAAAACGGAATTAGGCTGAATGCAGGCAAAACAAATTCCATGCTGTGCGGTTGCCAATTCAATGTTAACGCATTGAAGGACTCTACACCTCCATTGTTTGTCCAGAGAACGCAGTTGCAGACGAGGCATGAGCTGACCACTCTCGGTCTAAAGTTCACACCATCTCTGCCTTGGGGACCTCAAGTCAGTCAAGTCTGAACTTCAGTGTACAACACTCTGTATTCATTGAGATATTACAGACATGCACTGTCGAGACCCCTTCGTAAGTGACTGATCGACTGAATGATCTTCGCGACTTTCGACTACGGCTTATCTGTCTTCTATGATCTGAACAAGGAACAGTTCCTCCAACTGCACAGACTATAACATCATAGTCCTGGCGATCAACATAATCACGTCAGTCGCCTAAGCCCCTGTTTAGCCTGTTCACATTTCGAGCGAATCGCCTCCTACATTGTGCAGCACGCACGCAACCTCCACATGAACTTACTCATAAAGCTGCTCGCACTCGAGCTCTGCGCAACTCATTCGCTTACGCAGCTACGCGACTGATAATGAGTTCATTTATTCCATCTGAATGTCCAGGACTGGAAGAAATGCTGTTCAAATGAAAATCTAGAGTACGAACCTCTACCCCCCAGAAACCGCCTACCTTCCATATAACATCCTTTTTCCAGCGACAAAATGGAGTAAAACAGACGATACTAGAAAATGCTAATTTAAAATTGTCTAGTCGGAAAGCCTGTATTTTCTATTTTTTTTTATGTGAAACATCTATATTCGCGTTTGGTATCAGGGGTAAACCCGTAAAAACCGAGCGTCCGTCCGTCCGAGCGAGCGCAACTTTGATAGTAGAACTGCCTATACAGCGTCGGTTTGCGCTACGCGCTGTAATTGGCTGCCGCGCCAGCTACAGAACTGCTTTCTGCTGCCGAGACTCGACGCGCATATCTCTTTCTCTCTTGCTCTCGCACGCGCGTATGACTGTGTTTAAGTACACACACGAGGCAACGTAACAACATAAGCAACAGCAGTCAGCTTAGCTCACGGGATTGACTGCGTTGAGATATCTTTCTCTCTCTTGCTTATGCGTATCGATAATACATATAATAAGTTTGTGCTGTCTATGCGTAAACGTCGCGAGACTGTACGCACTATCATGCATGTTTTCAAATCTGATATTGATCAATGCATGTATGTATACGTGCCTATAAGTGTGTCTTCTTAAGGAAAGTCGACATTTTTATCATGTTATATTAACATACAACAAACGATAACCGCTCAATGAACTAATTTAATATTTTAATTCATCAATAAATAATTTTTAATAAAAATTTACTTTCGAAGCTACAATTGAAAGTTAAAGAAAATAATTAAAGTACCAGTCACTTTTCGAAAATATGATTTCAAATAAAAAAAAATCAGAGATTGGAGGGGACAACTTTCAAATCTCCGAGACATTTTTGGTAAGAAAAAAAAAGTAAAAAAAACCAAATTAAAATCAGATTAAAAATTGAAAAAATTGAAAAAAATCAGCTGTTTATGAACAGCTGCAAGATGTGAAACATCTTATTATTAATTAAAGAAAATTAAAGAATTTAAAAGTAATCGAACAAGTAAAAGTCGAAACAAAAAAATAAGTAAAAAATTAAAAACAAATTAAAAATTGAAAAATTGAAAAATCCAGAAAAAAATCAATTTAAATAAAAAAATCTAAAATCAAACAAGTAAAAAGTAAGAAAACAAAAAAACAAAGAACATGAATCAAAAAAACGAGAAAATCAAGAAAAATCAAGAAAAGAAAAGTCAGAAAATTCCAACACAAGCATCGATGTTTCACATCTGGTGCGCTAAAGCTCGAGAAACTACTCTGTTTACTTAACTCAATGAAAGGGAACGATTTAAAGACTAAGCACGCATTGATAATGCACCAGATGTGAAACATCGATGCTTGTGTTGGGATTTTCTGACTTTTCTTTTCTTGATTTTTCTTGATTTTCTGGTTGTTTTGATTCATGTTCTTTGTTTTTTTGTTTTCTTACTTTTTACTTGTTTGATTTTAGATTTTTTTATTTAAATTTTTTCTACTCCAATCTATATATGTATTCAACGTATGTGGTTCTGTTGAGCGCGTGCTAGTGAGTAGAAGTCTTATTTTCAAGGTATTTTTATTACCTTTGAATTGCCGTGCGCAGATTTAAGATTGGTTTAAAAACGACGGAGATAGAGCTGTTTAAAGATGTCATCATTATGAAAAAAGGCGTTTTTCGACATTTCGATAAACTGCAACTTTTTTCTAGTAACATGGATCTCTTTGAAATTTTATATAAAAGTAGTTGATTACATGTAGTTTGAAGCCATATAGGTTAGGATCTTGGTATTTGCCTCTATAACCGAAAACGAGGCCCCGGAAATCCGGGATTTTAGCCTTTATAGAGTCAAAATTCATGTTAAATTAAGAGGCAAAACCATTTGGTAATTCCTGAAAATATTGCAAAATAAACATAAAAATCAAAAACCTCATATTCAACGTATTTTTCGACGAGGAATCCAATGGTAACCTTGAATTTGACCTTGAACATAACCTCTAAGCTATTCGCTATCTGCGTCAGCCGAGGTGGGGGAGCTCGTATCGACGGACGCTCCCTCTCGTGTAGGACTCTAGCGTTTTTGGGAGAGAGCGTGATATATCATAGCATTGATTTTCACATTGAAAATGTCAAATCGTTCTTGTTATGTTGTTAAGGGGTAAAGGTATCTAAAATCTCAAAAAAAAAATTTTTTTTTTATTGACTTTTTTGATAGGTTTTTCCTCAACTTTTCAGTGCCGTGATCGGAATTTTAAAATTTTAATTGTACACTGATGTACAGCCTATTTAGTACCGATACTTTTACAATTATTTAGAAAAAATGATGAAACAACTCAAAGATATATAGTTGCCATCGCTTCTCACGAATCTCGAGACTTTCATAAGTCGGTAGCGCCATCTACTGATACTCGTTTTATTCTTTGGTTAGAGTACATCTAGCAGAAATTTGTTTGTTTACATGGCTATAGGTGTACAGTAACGCCACCACTCACAGAACGTGGGTTTCGGCATATTTTCTGTCTCTCTCTGTTTTGTGCGCGAGCCCGGATCAAATGTCAATAACAGTATGCTGACTGCTTCTTAATTTTCCAATGGCTAAAAATAACATTTTTTTAAAAGTAAAAAAAGTACATGTACAGTGAAGTTATATCTTTGCAACTTGACATAGTGTTTCATAATAAAGCTATGAAAATGTTTCAATAGCTTCTTATGAAAATGTGACATTTTTAGCA